ATGTAAATGAAATACAAATAGTCGGAATGACGCTTCCCAAGTTACAAATCGTAGTCTTCAATAAGAAATTGTAATGAATGGGCGGATTATCATTTTTCACATCAAAGTCGGTTACTGTCAGATAAAAGCTCATTGAGACGCTGACCAAAGGCAAGACCAAAGGCAAGACCAAAGGGAGAGGGCATCCGAAAAAGGAAGATTGTAGGCCCTCTTTGCAACTTCCTAAAGAAAAGGCTAACTTTGACAAAAAGTCCCTTTTTTAACGAATACGGTTTACCGCTCCTCGAATGGAACCACTTTAAATTTGTTTTCTAAGAATTATCGCATTTCTCTTTCTATCAGTAAAATAAAGTTTATCTCCAAAAGTGGCGGTGGAGAAGGGATGAGAGGTTGGAGTTCAAAAATGCACATCACTCGTGATTTGGTTTACTTAATGATTACTTAATAATTATGCGGACGCTGAGCTGAGCGGACGCATATTTCTCGCTCTGTGTGATTTTATTCTATTAAGTTTCCCTAATTATGGCTGGTAAAGGAAACCAACTAAAAAAAGAAAATCAGCAGTTAAGGAATGAAATTGAAGATCTCAAGAAGCAACTGGATAAATTGACTGAGGAAATTGTTGAAAAGATCTCCTCTAAACTTAAGGACTGCATAATTAAAACAAATTGATCCGATTGCTTTCAGTACTAATGTATTTGCTTCTATACTTTATTGAACAACTATTGATGTATTTGCCAGCTATGCTTCTTTTTATAATTTAACAATATCTAATTATTTAGTTTTTAATTTTCTTTATATATTGTAAATAATGTTTGTTGATGATTGACCCGCCTCGAATAGCAAATTTGCTATCTGCGGGTCAACATAATCTAAATTATTTTGTAAGAAAAAGAAAAATAAAGTGTGTAAAAGTGTGTAAAAAGTGTACCATCCTGTGATAGTAAGCCCCTTTCCAAATATCAAATAATTAAGATTCGATGCCAAAACTCCGTGAAAATTTCTTGCCAGCTATATTTGCTAAACAGTTTTCGCCATGCATTAAATGGAACAGTTCCACGAGGAAGATCGCTACTTAACTTTGCGTTGAAACACGCAGGCTTTGTTTATGACCCTCAGCTTGTCTTCTCTAGCAATCAACTTCTTCCTTACAATTAAACAAGACGTCTTTAAAGGTTCTTTCATGTTCATCACGTCCTTGCGCTAAAACTTATGAACATCTAAATTTGTAAGCTTTGCTGCAACTGGTAATGACATCGTTATTTGCCAAATGTTTCGAAAACGTGTCTTATGGACTGTTATTTTCGAAACCGCGGACAAGTCGATAGTGGAACTTCAGGGTTTAATTAAGACACTAAATGGTATTTTTTATATGCAAACATCAACGTCGCGTGGCTCGTCTCTGAACGCTTTCAATCATGTCCTGCAAAAAGGCTTGGTGACGAGCCCAGATTTCGCAGGCGTATTCAAGGTGAGGCCGCACAAGGTGTATGTAAAGCTTACGACTCACAGCAGACTGTGTCTGATTTCCACATGTCGGTTTAATTAGCCGCAGGATCTTATTAGCAGAATTTACTTTTGTAAAGATGTGGTCATGCCATGCTAGTGTGTGATGTAGCATTTATACCTCTACTTTTCGGCGATTTTTCTAGTCTCATGTGAGGGCTTTTTTTTACTCACTACAATGCCAACAGAATTCAGATTGTTATGTAGACAATAACTTTCTTTCTAGGAAATGGAATGGAAATTGCACTATTTTATTCCTATCTTGGCAATTGTTTTTGCTAATTTCACTAGCAATGGAGATACATTTGAAATGCTTGTTGACAGGTGCAATTTATATATTTATTTTAAGTTTGTCTAACCGCATAAAATTAGAGGAATTGTGGTGTAAACAACAAAATTAAAAGATCAAAGGCCCTGAGGGTGCCTCATGTCATTAGGGCTAACGTGTTAAGTCGATAAAATTTATAATCGAAAAAAAATCAGTTGAAAGTAATAAATTGTATCGAAATACTGTGTGAGTATTGATCTTTTTAACTATCATTTGACTTAATTACAGTTATCGACTTTATCAGCGCAAAATGTCTCCAGTTGTAGCAGTGGATACGCAAAGCGTATAAACGACTGTCGAAATTTAAGGAATCAGTTAAAAAACGATCATTACAACAACGAAAAAACCCCACTCGGGTTAAACCACTGTGGCCAAGTGTAAACGATTTTGTTTTATCACTTACAATCCTTTAAGAAGAAAACTACGCATTTTTCTGGATTAGTAGAAGTCCGTACCCTAACACTGTGTTGAGGTCAGCAAAAACACACTTAGTTGGGGAAAAATACTCAATTTTCCCTATAGCTTAAACTGATTGTCCATTACTAAGTCCACTGTCAAGTGAGAGTGTTCAGCAAAGTCATTTTGATTCGGTGGACCATCCGCCCTCGTTGCGAATGTAAAACTGATAAGCTGCACGTAGACCAGACTCCAAGGCCCCCTGAATCCACCCCGAAGCAAACGAGAGGCCTTCACCGGCAAAGAAGAGGTTAGCCATAGGATATTCCATGAGGTAGCGGACGTTTTCGAACTGGGTGGGTTTGAGCAGGGCATAGGCTCCTTGAGCTGTTGGTTGGTTGTACCATGCACAAACGGCTCCCGTTTCAACCTGCTCTTTGATCTCTGGGTGGATTGTGGCTATTTGCTCTACTGCCTCGTATAGAGCAGCAGTAGGATCCAGGGAGCCAAAGAGTAAGGCTTCTGTCTTCCACGTGTAAACCAACAGGATGCCTTTTTCTCCAGGATGCTCTCCAGTGACGTTGCTTGGATAATGGAGCTGCCCGATTGGAAGATTTGTTTTTGAGAAGCCTCCTTTAATACCATCTTTCTCCCAGAATCTGGTCTTAGTCTGTATGAATAATTTGGTCGCTGGACCGGTAAAGATGTCTTCTATGGCCTTGTGGAAATCCTGTGGGGGATGGTTGGTGCGTTTAGAAGCTATGTACTTGATCTGTCTAAGAATGTTGATTGGAGTTGCCACTATAACTGCGTCTCCACGTTCCTGGAAAGGCTGTCTGCTGTTGCTGAAGTAACCTTTTACCTTCACACAATTATTTTCAGTATCATGGATATCAAATTTGTAGATTATCTCTTTGACCGTACGGTTAAAGTGAATTTTATCATGAAGGCAAACGTCGGGATTCCAGCCTCCATTATCTCTTTTGGTGAAGGCTTCTGGCAATAGAGACATCCCACCTTTGATGCAGTGCATGTCTGGTGACAACCACTGTCCCAGTTGATCTCGGAGGTATTGCACAAGGCTTTGATCAAGCTGCTCTGTATAGGTGAAGACAGAGTAGGCAGTGATAGCGGCATCAGGCCAGGGAAGGTACTTCTTCAGCTCTTCAAGGCTTTTCAAAGGGATGTCGAATTTTTTCCCGCGGACTTTCCTCTCGAGTACTTTTTTTTCGACTTTTGTCATGATGGCTTCGTAGGTACTTTGTAGGAACCCATCGAGTGGAAACTGACTCCAGAGATCAATCCATTGATCCCAGGCCTCGCTTGGTTCAACGCCGGGTGTGTTTAGCAAATCAAGCAGCTGATCAGTTATCACTTGAGTGGTGCGATTGTAATACTCGTCTGCAGTTAGATAAAGTTATAATCAAAGATACCATCTAGACAATAATATGAATTAACATTTCTAAGGCTTAAATCAGCGTATGAATATGATCAAATGAGCCCTAGACAAAGCTTTTTCAAAATGCTTTTGAACTAAGCCATTTTCAGTCTAATAGGTCAAGGTTGCAGATGTTATGTCAAATCGTCTGTTCTGAATACATAGGGTGGTGGTTTTCCTCCATAACAAATAATCTTTCTCTTTTAAATTATTTTTAGATGCGGTGCATTTTAGGTGCCGAATAGAGGCTATTAGTGCAGTAAATGATGCCTGACGACTACAAAATACTGTCATTTGATGTGAAATCGTTGTTTACAAGTATTCCACTTCAATTGGCACTACAATGTACTGAAACTGCACTCCGACAATCTACCGACCCACTAACGCTACCGACAGACGACATTGCGGACTTACTGAACCTTTGCCTAACGTCAACTTACTTTCAGTACAACGATAAACACTACAAACAGTTACACGGCACAGCCATGGGGTCTCAGGTTTCTGTTGTTGTGGTAGAAATTGTGATGCAGAACATCGAGGAACGGGCCCTTTCGACTTGCCCACACACGATACCGCTTTGGTTACGCTACGTTGACGGTACATTCACCGCCCTAGGACACGACGAAATCGACGCATTTACCCCACCTCAACGGGCAAACACTGACATACAGTTTACCAGAGAAGTCGAAGAAAATGGCAACTTCCTTTTCTAGACTGTCTGGTAAGCCATGACGACAACTCGCTACGGACAACAGTTTAGAGGAAACCGACACACACCGACAGATTACTAGACGAGTCATCCTACAACCCTACATCACACAAAGTCACAACTATCAAAACTCTAACACGATGCGAGCAACTAGTATGCAACACGACAAAAAGCTTATCCGACGAGAACAAATTCTTTTACCGTGTTTTTTCAAAGATCAACTACAACGACCACTTCATCCGACGAAACACTGACCGACCCACTACTACTACCGAAACAAACGACACCGCAACTCCTACGACTACAGCAACCATACCGTACATAAAAGGCATGTCTGAGAACATCTCGCGCATCTTACAACCCTTCAATATCCGCGTCTCCCGAAAACCCATAACCACACTACGTCAGTTACTAGCCAACGTTAAAGGGCTACTGCGGCCAAAAATGCACCTTTTCTTTTCTCTAAAAATGCACCTTTTCTTTCACCCTAAGTAACAAATTTAACTTATCTTAATGCAAAACTCCATCGAGAAGTAATATTATTTTCCCAGTAGATTCGCGATCTAAACGGCCGCAATTCTTCGAACTACAGAACTCCGCGCGATGAAGAAGAAATTCGGTCGAGAACGGAAGTGACGTCAACGACTCAACAAACGTGGCTAATTTGGTATGCCGAGAGAGGATTTTTTTCTGGTTCCGCAAGAAAGAAGGAATAAAATTCGAAATAATTGTTCCCCAGCTTTCTTTTGCGTATTTCTTGTAAAGGCATGCCTTCGCGACGTTGTCGAAGTGAGTCGATGACGTCATAACTAAAACCGCTGTGATTATTTTCGCGGGCTGGCGGAAGAATTTTTAATGTCTTCGCGGCGCTGTTTTCAAGGAATAACGTTGTCAAATTTGAGAAACTTACGCTTATTCCTATAGTTTAGGGTTTAATTGCGAAGTTAACACCAGAAAACATTTCGTCGCAGTAGCACTTTAAAGACAAGGACGAAACGAGGAACAGACAGGAAGTGATTTATAAGATCAACTGCTCCGATTGCCAAGCCTCCTACATTGGTGAGACTGGTAGAAACCTCGCAACAAGACTGACTGAACACAGACGGGCGACGAGGAAAGGTGATGTCAGCAATCACATTGCTGAACATCATTGACTTACGAACCACAATATTGACTGGTACTCTGCGCAATTCCTAACCTACAATACTAACTACGACTGACTCTGGAAAGCTGGTTCACTAACTTAAAAGAGACTCCCCTAAACAGGTGTCAACTACTACCGGCTCCATACAAACGACTCATTCACGACATTAACATTACAAACGAACCGAACAGAACGACCTAACTTTACCGATGAATCGAAACAGACCAATCACGACCGACTCACGCCACTTGAGTCTTACAGCCAATAACATCACGACAAAACTGACCAATCATTTTACACGAACTGGACTATGAGCATTCTATTGACAACAACTGTTCACTTGACTCTGATGATGACTTCCGCACAGGTTGTCGAAACGTTAGTCACTACTACCGACAACAGTCCTTCTCAGGACTACACTCACCCGGACGATCAGACTACACTTTCAGAGGCAATTAAAACTCCCATTTTCAGTCAGTCACTCCGATGGTTTTCGGCATAACACAGTAACTATCCTGACTTTTGTACACTTTTCCCCTCGTAAATTCTATAGAAACATTCATTACTTTACGAGGGAATTCCGCCTTAAATTGGACACGAAAACTGATATCGCACAAATCGCGAAGCGATGAGTACAATATCGGTTTTCAAGTGCAATTCAACGCGGAATTCACAGTCAAGTAATGGATTTTCCTTGAATCGCACAATTAAATAGAAATAAGAACAAAAAGAAAACAGCATTCACTATTATTGTTATGTATTACTCGCAATTCCACGCTAAATACCTCGCTTCGTAAACCAATCAGAATGCGACTTTTTATTCGATGATGCGATTCTATTTTGTATTTCACACCTCCTTTCAGCTCTTGGGCGGCGAAATTTCGTGGGATTCCGATGTGTGTAAGGAAGACGTGCTTTGAGAGTGCTGTGCAACACTCAGGGAGATCATAGTATCAAGGGGATTTTAGTGGCTTGAAAATTTTTAACTTCCTGTGGCTGTAGAATATACTAATGATGAATGGCAAAAATAAAGTTTTCGACCAGCTCAGACAGCTAAAGCAGTTAAACTTACCGATATTTGCGATGTCGTAAAGTCCATTTTTTATTAGGGTTTCATTCCATTTAGGCCAAAGTTTGTTCATCCATTTCAACTGATCTTTACTCCAATCTGTTATATAAAAGAATTGGGAATTACCTTTTATTACATATTTTACATTTACATAATTTACACAAGTTTAGCTCTCAGTAAGCGACTAGTTGTAAGGCCAGGCCACTACACTTCAGTTTTTATCGAGCCCCAAATTCTAAAACTCAATATTACACTTAATCACAGAAATCAACTTGCTAAACTACAGGACTACCCCTGAAGGAGGAGGGCTATATCCGATTTCTCGGGAAGGCTTTTGACACGGGAACATTGTCATAAAGACCCTTACCTCTTTCAGCGCCTTTTCTCGCTCAAGTGTGTTAATGGCTAAATACATGAATTGGGAACTAGGTAAGGGTATTTCATTCCAAAATGTAACATTTTTCACCATAAACGTATTAAAAGATGTAAATACAAGTCAGCGTCGTGTTGTAAGGTCAGGCCACTGCAATTCAGCTCTTGAAGCCCAAATTCTAAAACTCAGTTTCACTCACACAAAGATAACATGCTAAGCTACAGGGCTACCTTGGGTTCGGAAAGGCGACATCTGACTTCGAGGGAAGACATTTGACGCGTTGAAAAATTAAGTAGTAGATTTCATCAATGTATCATAGAGCTCACCTTCTATACGGACAGCTTCTTCGTTATAAAACTTGAGAAAAGCCTTCTCACTGTAATTGGCAAAACGTGCCAAGGGTAGGTTGAACCGCTCCCCAGAAACATAAAAATCCGTCAGAAAATGGGTCTTGGTTTTCGCGTCAGGGAGACATGGTAACCTCATGGCACCAGCTGCAATTGCAATTAATAGAAATGCAAAAGGATTACGAAACCAATCATTACAGATAGCTTATGAGGAGAATAGAGCCACGTTGGTCTCCGCCAATACACTACAGTACTTACCCTCAGCGTGGAGTCCTTTTTCAAAGCCATCTTTTTCCCCAAGGGTGTATACTCTACCTCCTATCCGCGTCTGGCCTTCTAATACTATCACGTCGTGTCCAACTTGCGCCAGCTCAAATGCAGCCACTAACCCAGCCATTCCGGCTCCTACCACAATCACTTTCTTCGGATTTTTCGTCTTTGAACAGCACTCGGGTTCTTCTTTCTGATCCCATGTTTGGAAAGCGTAATTTAGGCCGTTTCTAGCAATATCCATCAACAGTGGTTTTAAAAGATCGCTTTGTTGAACAGGTCCTTGCTCTCCTTTAATCTTAGACGTTTTGACAACATCGACCGTTTGACCTTTTCTGTGGGCTTCATACTTAGCCTTTGTAGGGAAGGGGCTTTTCCCTAGATCTCCAGTAATCCAATTTGGTTCGTTCTTTAGCAAAAACCTACCCAATCGCTTACCGACGTCCTGAACTGTCTTTGTCGTCATCGTGAATTCTCAGCTGAAGATATCAAAGAGACTGTATAAGGGTCTCAATAGGGTTATCTTAAAACAGGACAAACAATTAGCTGCTTAATTTTAAACCTTAGTGGTAAAAAATGTTGATCGAAATCATATTTTAGCCACAAAAGTGTAGATCTCAAGGTCTCTTAGATTTTGTGTCTTTGTAGTGCAGAGTAAATGCGGAAGACTTAGTTCTGCTATATTCGTTCACAATTTTTTATAATAATTCCGGCTGCAGTTATTCCAACTCAGAATGGTACTAAGACCTTTATTCT